ACAATTCTAAAAATCACTGGTTCATTTACGTCAATGACCCTCGTTATCTTTCAACACATGAGGGCAGCTGGACGAGATTATCTTAAATATAAGGTCAAAGGTCAAATGTTTGAGAAAAAATTGTCTTAACTTTAATGTCCCAAAACTACTACTCAATAATAATCATAATAATAAATGCTATATTTCATATGGTGTGGAACATATTGTGAAACGGCCATAAGAGACTTCTAGAGAACATCAGCTGCAGGTTAACTAACTGCGTGCCCAGGTAAGAGTCTCAACTAAAACCGAGTCATTTAGGATTGGGGCCCACAACGACTGAGGTCAATATGATATATGACCCATCAGGATTGGGCCATCCTAGATTAAGTTAGGGTAAGGTAGGGTATATAAAAGACTGGGGTCATCTGACCAGCCGGTGACATCATCCAACAAAACAACACCCAGGTCGGTGATCACTGTGCGTCAATTGAACACAAGAGAGCAAAGTCTTCACGCGTTTGGTGTTATAGTGTGCCAGGCAACCTCTGACGGGTCTGACTGAGCTATAACCCAGCAGGGTCAGAAGCGCCAGGTGCCTCCAGAATGGCCACAGAGTCCGGAAACAAGTCAAGCTCTCCAGGGTGGGTGCAAGCTCTGCCTACAGGTGACGCCCCTAGGTGTAAAATTTACTGCCTGTGTGGAGTTGGGGAGAGGGATTGAAGATGTACGAGCGTGAAGCTGCCGCCCTGTAACTGTCCCCATGACCTGACCTGAACTCACCACCTGTGACTACGTTACACACGCGCGCACACACACACGTGTCTTAGCACGAATTTACATTCTTACGTAAATGCGCATAAAAAAAAAGATGGAAATTCCAACAAAAAGACATTTACAAATGGGTGCGTCCTTGTGTTGTAATACAGTGTTTCCTTACACAACACTCCCTAGTAATCTGATATAGGATACGGTGCGTCACCATCATTACCAACATGCCTTTTGTAGTATTAAAGTGTAGCTATGTTTGGTTTCTATGAATCACCTTTTTTAATCGCATATTATTAATAAGAGTACTTTCTACATGTTATGCTGTAATACATTAAGAAAACAGGCCAGGTACAACACACAACAATCATTCAACCCATTTACTCCGATAATTTATATTAAAAACAATAAAACCATAAAAATAAAGGTACCAATACATCATAATTACCTTAACAAATACCTGCACTGTGTTACTGATAAAGAAACGTGACTCAGATATTTACTACGGGTGAGATCATAGCGCCCTCAACCTACTACATATATCAAAGACCTTAGTTACTATGAGCAATCACCAGCGCCTGGTGTTTCACCTACCTTGGTTAGAACTACACATCAGTAATGAGTTTGCCACATCTCCCCGTAGCGGTGTACGCATAAGCAACAAGCGCCTGAGTAAACCCGCGCGCAACACATGATAAGGTTGTTGCTTCCGCCCAGGGGACTCTTGCAGCGATCCTGGCCGTGCTCTCACCCTGACGTGACTGTTGTGACAATGTACAGTATAGCCAGTTTATAATTATGTGCATTAAAACCGTTTAAGCATCCTACATCTGTATATTTTATCATGGAAAATACTTTCATCTAATAATTTTGTTTTTGATCCTATAAAATAATTCTATGTTGTGTGTGGATCAATGGGCACCAGTCGCCCATCACAGCTGAGCACAAACCAAATATAATCTTCCATCCTATTTCTTAACAGCATTCTGACGGTACACTCTTGTCAACCAACATTACAATCACAATTATCCACTCTCCATATATATTCCTCTGACACAATCATGATAAATATAGCCCCAACACCGTCACTTAATCCTGTTCTGCCCAACGTTCCAAAAATATAAACAAACGTCAGACTGTAGACTTGCTGCCTCACGTGGTGGAACTATGGTCGCCGCCACCACAAGGCGGGCTACATCGCTGTCTTGCATAATATGTAGCGACTTCAACCTCAGGAACGCAATGTTCCCTATTAATAAGACCATTACCGTGAACCAACTCATGACAGCCACCCAACCATGAATGGAATACCGACGATTTAATGAATTTTCATGTATGATTTCAAATTTAATTGGCAGTATTGGGAAATTCTGTGGCTTTCACGGTAAGCTGAGGAGGAGTTCGTGTCATATTACTAGTGAGCAGCAAAACACCTCCCATGTCCTAGTCTTGCTTACTGGTTACTTAAGAGACATTTCACCAGCGTCAGTCACGTGTGCTCCAAGTCACGTAACACTAGGTGCACCTCCTGTGCCGTACTGGATATGTAAGGATCCATGATAATGTTTTACACCATGAAGACCATGAATCTGCTTCAACATGGAAGTTACAGAGCAAACGTAACGTGACAACCTGTAATATCAGTGTAATGGTGGCAATATCTGGGAAAACTTTATACAGTACTGCACTCAGTTGATAACAAAGCTTGTCCGTCTCACAAAACTGGTCAATGAGGCCTAATTTATCCTTGACTGTCAACAATGCAACTGTAACTTAATTTATGTCGCTTGGTTATCATTTTAGTAACTGAAGTCGAAATTATACTGTTGACTGTCGTCTTGTGTTCGCTGAGTAACCGATGGGTAACGTGCCCCGTCCACCAGTGACTGTCCATCACCTCCCTGCCACCGTCGGGCTCTGACAGTTTAGCCCACAGTGAAACGTCAGCTTTAGCTGCAATATGCATAGTAGGCTGGTCAATAATTCCCTTGACAAGTCACCTGTTTCAGCTACAACGCGACTCCTTGACCAATCAGTCCTGGTACCCAGACGACCCCAAACACACACAGAAACACACTTTAAACTCACTCATGGGTGCATATGCTATAATATACATACAATACACAAAAGTGACCTATGCCCGTCGCAGCTAAGAGTGACACCCACGCGTCACTGGTTGCAGTTTCAGATACGCGATTGTGACAAGAGTGGCAGACAGACGTTTGTAATAAAGTGTAAAGACAACTACAGTGAGTATAAAAGAGTCATTCAGAGTGAGTGGCAGTGAATGAAGGCGTCATTAAGGTGGTGGCAGTGAATAGAATTATGAAGAGGTAAATGGCAGACGGCGGAGTGGAAGTGTAGTGGACTGGCAGGTAAGTGTCAATGGATGGCATGAGTGGAGGAAGGAGGTGAGTGGAGCCATGGACACTCACACTACAACAACGCAAGTTTAAACTCAACTAATCCCACCCACCAACCTGACGAAATCATAAAAATGTACCTTAACCTAACTAATCAATACTGTATGTCCACCCAAGCTAACAAATTATCAACTCCTTCACATTGATGTAACAAACTATAAAAGGCTAATAACAACATCAAACCTAAATACCACACAAAGCACAGACGAGGACCGGAGTAATTAAAACACAAATTATGGTGCTCTCTTTAATCCTAACAGACCCAAACCTACATTAACCTAGACCTGAAAGTTATAGCTCAATGGCTAGGTTAGGTCCGGAACAATTAAGACTGGGCCAAACCACTAATCCATCTTTAGTCAGTCCGTCGATCACATCAGCATGTCTTCACGGAGATTCAAGAGAAACACTCTGAAGCATTCAACGTGTGAGTTTATACAAGATGAATTATTCGCGACAATAACAAAGGAAGCAACGCCTCTGGTAAACACTGCAACACGATCACTCAAGATGTTGGCAGCCACCAAAACCTCCAATTTACCAGACCATAATTCTTGGTTAGTAATTTAAACCAAATACATATTTGGAACTCGAGGCCACACAAGTCTTGATACAGGTGGCATACTACCTCACTTATAATCCGCCAAGCGTTCGCAAATTGCTGAAAGGAAATAAAATTCCTGGGATGGACATACGGAAGTTAATACTATAGGCCTACAAGCTAAAATTATAAAGTAATATATATATATATATATATATATATATATATATATATATATATATATATATATATATATATATATATATGAGAGAGAGAGAGAGAGAGAGAGACGTGACACCTCAATCTGGCCATTATAAGCACCAGCATGGTCTGACGAAACGCCCGTCTCCAGGGTAATGGTATGATGACCGAGGTGGTTTTGATGGAAGGGTCGTGACTATAACACAGGCGTGATCTAAATGGCGTATAAAGACAAAGCACTGGTAGGTTAACATGGTATAATAACTTAAGGAGTCTGACATAATTTAATAATGCGATATATTTACAGGCCTAGTACAGAGCCATTTGGTTATAAAAAGCTATATATATATATATATATATATATATATATATATATATATATATATATATATATATATATATATATATATATATATATATATATATATATATATATATATATATATATATATATATATTTCATGTAGATCCACAATGAAAACGTGGATGAGATAAATCTTGAAAACACACAGGAAGAAACAACGGAACATATAAATCTTTATTCAAGACATCTTCAGAGGCAACGAAAGCTAAGGTGCTCCGTTGTTTCCTTTTCCGTGTGTTATCAATATATATATATATATATATATATATATATATATATATATATATATATATATATATATATATATATATATATATATATATATATATAATAAAATTCGACACATCAATATGGTACGCTATTGTAAGTGGAGTATGACGACACAATCTCTGTTATAGCCCCTAATACGATAAAATATTACCAAACGTTTTGGAAATTAAACCCACACAAGAAACCCACATACCCACACAAACAAACAGAAAAAACTGCTTTAAAATAATGCAATTTTAATGCCCCGTTGGCATCCTCCACTACACCCTTGTACTCACAACTGATGGGCGGGGCCAGAGAGCATAAGATGTTTCAATCTTTTCGTGTGTGGTTCGATTTACAAGGCTAACATTCGCGCTACTGTGAATCTTTCTAAGACAGTACAATAGTATTACAAGGCAATGTTAAGAAAGCACAGACACACACGTATAACACAACACAAAATGGTACTCACCAAGATGGCATCGCGGATGTTGCATCTGATGGCATGTATCTTTTCTCTTTTTTCCCTGAAAGATAAAATATAAATTAAGTGGAATTATACATGCTACAAAACAACAGCGATACAAAGTGTTCCTTACAAGGTGGTCATAAAGGTAGGTAGGTGTGTGTGTGTGTGTGTGTCCATACATCCTAAGTATGGTAGATCCACAGGTGGTTGTGTGTATGTTTCTACCTCCCCACAGGTGCTTAAGATCCACAGGTGGTTGATACACACAACACTTGTGTGGTGCCAGACCACACAACCCTTACTACCGTGCGAAAACATCCACTATCTGCTACAACTCATCCCCATACGTTAATGAACATCTCCAGCTGTTAGTGCACATTCGTCAGTGGTATGACACGTCTCTATTACGACACACCTTAAACTGTTAGGACACAAACGATACCCAACTATTAAACACATCTCAACTGTCAATACATAACCCAATGTAAGCAAACAAATGACCTGGAACTTGACGTATACTTAGGCTGTATATTTCAAAACACTGTTATAGTCTTCCACTATACTTGCGTCGACTAAGTGTACACAGAAAAAAACAAGTTAACATCAAAGGTCTAACTGCTCCTCCATAACTGTTGTTGGGTTAACGTCCACATACCCTGTTTCACTCTACTCCATCTACAGTTGTTCAAGTTATAGTGTACAAAATAGGCCCGGACAGATGACGAACGTAGGCAGGCAGGGATGGATGCTGCCTGTTCTCTGCCGCTATCCTCTGACGCAACGTTAGGCAATAAAACTGACCCACCAAAGCTAACGTTATAATGTTATTACTGCTCTTCAACAGCTAAAATCTTGAAGCGCGTAAGGTGAGTAATTAAACCAGTCCTTTAACAATTAAAAAAATACGAGATATTTCTCCTTGTATTACTAATTACTAATTACTACTAGTGATCCACCAGTCTATAAACACGACATCCTGGTGGGCATTCAGTCCAGTATAGAGCAGAAAGGTCATCACATGTTCGCTCACGTGTATCATCCCTCCCCCATACATCCAACCAATAATGTTTCCCTGTCCGCTCCCGTAGCAACCTCCCACCTTACTCTTCACTAATACTTCAGTCTCAAACTGTCTGCTTTTATAATGTTATTTCTCACAAGACCATCCCAACCATGATCATCACATTTCGTACCACTCTCCAAGATTATTTTCTTTTTAAAGATTTAGACATAACTCCATGTTCAACAAGAATTCGGCTTTGATACGACATCTATAATTCTTTCTCCGGTTTGGATATTTAGGATTATTGCCTCTCGCTGTCCCTGGAGAAAGAAACGAAAAGACAATTGTGTACGTACAGTCACTCAAACTATCTGTACTTGACGGAGGGGTGGGGGGTCGATGAATGAACACTGCAACTCCTGTTGTCTCTGTATGGTTGTCAAAATCATTCGTTCGTTGTGGCGTTTTTTCTCAAGACAATTTTGTATAGACAATATATTGAGTGACTGTACAACCGGAAGTGGCGAAAATTATAATTCTAAGCAGCGATATATTTCAACCAAACTTCGTATAAATCAGGTACGTGGGTATAATTCAACAAGATCTCGGACGAGCTCAGTAATTGTGGATTTTCATAATCGATGTCGAGATCATTGCTGTACATGAGGGGGTGACTAGCTCGCTCTAGGCTAGACTACAATGTTTATACTATATTCTGATATACAGTATATAATGATAACTGCTTACGTCTATTTTCCTCTTTTATTTCAATAACTACGATAACTGCGAAGCGTACCGGATCTGTATTCCACTAGATGTCAGCAATTATTCTCTGCCATGACATTCACTGTTCACGTACGCTCCTTCACGCCCTTTTCTACGCCCACATTCACTTTACATCACACATCTCGCATTACCATCCGTTTTTCCGTTTAATGTTTAAGCTTCATTGATTCATTAATTAATCGTATCCTAATATTTCAAAGATTATTCACTGTTCTACACTTTCTGCTCAACGTCGCTCCCAAAATTCATTGATCAACTCACTTCCTACGCTCACCGCTTGGCGTTAATCATTATTCACGTGTTGTACAAGCTACTTCATGCTCATTTTCTTAAGATATAATAACTTATTCTTTTTGCTACTCAGTATTTCATATATTATTTATAATTTCTTTCCATGTCATTTATCATCTTGTTTTTCATTTTTCAATTGCACTTCACCCTTATCATAATCATAAATTCACAAGATTAGAATTACCCAGGACAATTATTCATTATATCATTCATAACAGATTGTCACTCATTTACCCTTGTCCAGTTTTTTTTTCATTTAGTTGTTGGTCTATTGATCTATTCATGTTATTCATTGTACTATTTTTTCTCCAGTTTGCATAATTTATTTCTCAATATCAAGGTTCATAATCAACACAGTTCAATTAGTGTACAGTACATGTGTCTCACGGTTCACAGTAAGTGTTCATAATCATCACAGTTTCACAGTTAGTGTTCATATTCCTCATAGTTCATAATAATGTTCATATACCTCACAGTTCAGTTAGTGTACAGTAAATGTGGATCACAGTTGAAGTGTACATATTCCTCAGTTAACGTTCATATCCATCACAGTTCACAGTTAAATGTCCATTATTCCTCAGATTCACAGTTACCCACATTACAGTTCAGTCACAATCTGCACATTCCTCACAGTCAGCTTATTCATATTTGTTCACATTTAAGTGTTCAGAATCCTCACTGTTCACAGTTATTATTCGTCACAATTCAGTTATCATTCATCACAGTTCAGCTATCTTTTGTCAGTTCAGTTATTTATTCGTCACAGTTCACTTCACAGTTATCATTCGTGATAGTTCAGTTTATTATTCGTGACAGCTCAGGTGATCATTCGTGTTATTTCAGTTGTCAATCGTCACGTGTCACAGTTGTTCATATTCTTCAAATTTCCTAGTCCAGTGTTTTCACGTTTAGGAGTTCGTTGTTCACTTCTTCAGTCCAAATAAAATAGCGATTTTTTTTTATCACATCAAAACCAACTCTATCCATATTGGTCATCACTAATTCACATTAAGTTTACTGTACATGGGTTCCCGGGCTTTTTTGTCCAAGTAGTAACCGTTATTCACTAAAACTTTTTATTGTCTTCGTACGATTTACAATATCCTGTTCAACTGTTCATACCCAGTTATTACCCACACTACGTTCCACATTAATTTGTTCACTCACCCCATCCTTTACTGATACATCCATCACTTTCCGTATTATTCACATTTCATTCTATATTCCAGTTATCATATCCAGTCCTTCCCTCACTGTAAAGTTCTCATACTGTTAAAAAAAAAAGACGAACCCACACTTCGGTTTCCTCCATTCACATTATACTTGACTATACTATATACACTATCCCGCGCACTCTCAAATCACCTCTTGCGTTTTCTATTTCATTTCAACTCACCGTATTGTTCCCGGGTTCCCTTTTTTGTATTTCAGTTGTCAGTCACACTCCACCACGTATCCACTATACAATACTTGCGTATTTTTAAACACCGTTTTTGTTTTTCTTCTAAATGTGGGGAACTGTGTCAATAGCTAAGAGGGGAGGGGAGGAGGCTTGGCTGTTCCTTCCTCAGTTTGTTTATTGTCTACGTTGTCACTTTGATATCATCACTATCATCAATATTTCAATGTTCACCAATATTATTTTCAGTCTCAATTGTTTCTCTTACTTTGACAACACAATATACACATATCATTTCTCACTCTTGATATTTATTTTATTATAATTATTTATTTTTATTAATTTTATTATTATAGTATTAAAATTATTATTATTATTGTTTTATTACATTTTCATTCAAAATGACCTGTGCCTGCTAGGCTAATGTCCGTAAAAAAACAAAAAAAAAAAACGCGTAATCATCAATATCGGTCATCATTATATTCCAACAATGATTACAATCATTATATAATTATCAATCATCACTACCATTTCAGTAATTACTAGTATCAATAATCATCATTAATATTCAATAGTGTCAACAACGTTCAATCATCACTTTTCATTTACATCATCAGTCATCATAATAATTTTGAAGATCACCAATACCATCATCATTCCTCGGGACTCAATCAACTCACATTAATGTTGACTGATACTTATGTATATCCACTTCTTCAGTGCCGTAAACAACGAACAAGTTTACTTTCAAAGTTCACGGCGTCAACACTCTTCTGTACTTATTGTCTGTTCTAATTTCAAACACTTTGCAGAGATAATATGTACTTCCAGACTACATTTCAAAAAGAAAAGTTTATTATTATTATAGTATTATTTTCACATTTTCAGTAAATAAACTATATTTTCAACCTCACGGAAACCTTCAGTACCACACCACTTGTTCAATATCACTACACCCGTTGACGAAGACAACATCACTATGGGTCTATTTCTTACCTTGTCAGAAGTAAACACGTCATCACTGTTCTTGTTATTTACCGAATGATAACACGGTCATTACCATTATCGTTTTAGAACACATGATCGTTGCCATAAATGCTACAGACAGATAATGTAAAGTTCACTGTATCTTCAATTCACAAGTAGAGTCACCCGAAAGATTAATTGTACATTATCACACACGCACAATTTACGCCGCCACACATTTTGCGTCTGCCATGCACCAACAGCAATGATAATCTTAGGATGGGTTACATCCGGCTCCTACTACCACCTGAGATCCCTAGCCCGAGAATTGCTGTTGGACACCACAACCGCATCCAGCCAATACGTGCACGAACTGATCGCTATAAGAACAGCCCAGTCCCAACCATTGTAAAAATTATCAATAACTTGTAATAAACCAGTGTATTCACTCCCAGTAAATACTACTTCTTGCACTGTCACTATGTTGAAATGCACTGTAGTTTGAGCTTTTCCCCATCTAGTTATTATATATCTTATTTGTATCACTTATGTTACTTGTATATTATTTGTAATTCGAAACCCATTCCCCAAATATGTAACTGTATATTTTCAG